TACATATTTCCCCTTCGACGAATTCGCGTAAAGAATTCAACTGTACCCTGTGTCATACATATACACATATGTATCAAGATCTTTAATTCCTTGATACACGTTTCACGTGTCGCCCTCGTATTTACGCTCGCAGTTTTAGTTGAAAAGCGCGCGCGATGTCCGGGTGCAATCCGGGTTTTGCTGGTCAGCGAACATTGGTCCCAGGGTAATCCATACGACGCCATTACATGAAGTTCATTAAGCGATCGCTGCATAATTAAACAGGCGGACTGCTACCAAAACACACGCGCGAGGCAGGCCGAGTGTATCAGCCGCTATCATTAAAATCGGCCACGAAGTAAACGTTTCAGACGGTAAATATTTAAGTCGGCCGCTAAGGGCTCGGTAATGAGAGTCGAGAGATGGATCGATATATGGCCACGTAAGTACGCGTTCGAGGAGGACGGGGTCGCTGGCTGCCACACTTGATAAACATTGCCCATCGGCTGAAATTGCTTTCCCATTTCGTCTTCCCTCTTTTAATACGCGATTGTAACTCTATCGATGGCAATTTCACCGATCGCCGACTTTCTTCTTGTCGATATTAGGTACATTCGGGGCCTCGTACGTGACCAAAAATCTCGCGTGAATTCTGTGAGAACGGATCGTGATTCTCTTAATTGTCTGATTTCAGTGATTACAATAAATCGGAGTATCTCGCTGCCAGTTATTAACGATTGGAACTACCGACGATTAAAGCATAAAATTTCCATCAGTGACGTTGAAGACAAAAAGAATAGAGGAACTTTACAATAAAATAGAGTATACGAGCTTCTGTTCGTGTATTTTGCGAAAAGTTATTTAAATCTTTAGGAACACACTACTTTTACACGTCTAGAAAATGTTTAATAAAAATTATAAATTTGTCATCTCGACCACTTTAAGTCTAACTTCAGTCTAACAGTAATTTTTATGCGAATTCGTCTATTGTAATTAATAATCAAAATGGCGAGATTTATGCAGAGATATATTTCATTAAATACTGTATTTTGGACATTTTATTATATACCTTTAAATTTCTCGTAAATTGACAAATTGAAGTTCCTTCTTTTGATGCAATTTCTGTATTATTGTTTCCATGTTACATTATAATTTAGCTACATGAATCCCACGTTTTTCTGTAAAAAGATACTCTTATTAACTTTATATTAATTAGAATCTTACAGTTCGTTAAGACAACAAATAAATTCGTGACGTAAAAACATTTGGACAAATAGAGGGATTATAATTTTCGCCGGTGCCTTTTCGATTTTGATTGCCAGTTGCAACGTCGAGTCGCGTTTATCAGGCCCGCATACAATTTTATGCGTACACGTCACATTTCTGCCGTTATCTGTCGCGCAAACACAGACGAGAATCGCAAAAAGAAAAGAGAAAACAAAAATGTACGAAGAGAAGAGAGTCCGTTCAAGTTCAAGTATACCAGTTAATTACATCACGGTTTAATATTAAATTAAATTCGAATGATTAAGCGGTGAAATTTAGAAAAATGGAATTGCAAGTGTTTATAGTTAATTAAGAACTCGAAAGAACGCAATTGCATTTGAATAACAACTAACAATGCGCTTAAGCTGAACTTGAAAGAACTTACTTTTTCATATTTTCTGGAAAATTATTTGAGAATTAACTAATTTTTTAATTAGGTTTACTTCTTCCCATAATTTGTTTCCTTCGTTGAATTACAATGATCATAATGATCATGATAATGATGACATTGATTTTCAATTTTTATATATATATATATATATATGTTTTTTTTTAATTCGAAAAGATTCGACCGAGATAAGAAATTGTTTTAAAAATCGTCTTTTCAATCTTGGCAAACAAAACACAGTTGATTTCAAATGGAAACGATAAATCAATTGAAACAACTCGTTATTTCAAGTTTTGTCAACATTTCTCCCAAGTTTGATCTCGATTAATCAGTTTATTTTAAATTCATCCAGCCGGCCGACTAAAGCAAATGAAAGACACACGATTGATCAGAATTTTTCTTATCGCGTTTATTTTTCAATCACTTCGTTTCCTGTGCCAAATTTTTGTTTTCAATATCCAATGTCGTGAGTACAATTTTTAAATTTTTTCATGTTTCTCAATACAATTGTCAGTAATTTCATTTTATAGCTCAGTCAGTATCTAATGATTATTAACAACCTAATTTCACGTTAACATATCAATAACAATTGTATTGTGACGTATATTTTATTGTACAAAATATTATTGCAAGACTTTCGCTCAACAGTGCATTATGCATATAAAAAAGAAATTTAGAAGTTTCATCTCGAGGACATAGAGTTTGGAAAGAAACTTTCTAGTGGGTGATCAATGATTCAGGTTTCCGTGACGCTTCCACTTGGAAAACTGAAAATGAAGATTGTTTCCTCATCGTAGACGGTTGGAAAAGCTTTTGGAAAGACATTGCACTTCCACCTCCAGTATGTTGTCCCTGTAATATGCAAACTGGAAGTCTATTAGCCGACGATAGAGCATTTCTGTGGTCGGAATATAAAGACGCGAGTGATTCTTCCCTTGTTGGGAATTTCTCCTGTTACATTATTGCACACGTTACAATAAATAAAAGCGTGCAATGGCCTACATAGGAAATTTCATGTCAAATTCCTGCGTCCTCAAGTTCTCTATAAATGTAGAACGATAGGTCCTGAAACTTCATCGTTTATTATTACATTTCAGTAGCTTAGTATTAGCGTTATTACATTTTAAGTAAATGAAATATTCACTGCACTGAATCGTAAATAATTTGAAACAGTTCTCCTTGATTGGAACTTCCGGTTCTCCAGAATTTTCCAATTGAATTGCCGAATCGGTACAAACCTCTTAATTCTCTAATTATTGAATGAAAAGCTGCCTGAGCTCTCTGCAACTTCAATCGAATCGAAAATTATTCAGCCTCTGGAAGATAGAGATTTCGTTCGAGAGAACTCGAACGTTTCACTGTCTACTCGGTTTATTACAAAGTGCCACGCTCTTCTGTGAAACTCGAAGAAATTGAAAAATTGAAGAGAGAGAGAGAGAGAAAAAGGAAAGGAATCATGCTGCCGCGCTCGTCGCATTTAATTCGCGCTTAGTGTTTGATCTGCTTATTTATAGAAAATCATCTGGATAATAACGTAGCAGCGCGCCACTCGAGCGCGGAGGATGCTCGTAGACAACCATCTTTCATTAGTTATAAAAGGGTTAGGCGGATGGAAAGCCGAGCGAACAATTACGATAATGGTATTTTTCCTCGCGTCGTTCTGACCGGTGACACAAACGAACCAACGCTTGCGATAACAAAGCGTCATCATCGTCGCGTTCCGCCATTGTTCGTATTTATAGCGGGCTCGATAAGTCCGATGATATATTGATGCAAATCGATTTGCAAGCAAGACACGTATTATAACTTGCATATAACTCGAACGAACATGAGAAACGAAAGAAGAAAAAAAAACAAACGAGAGAAAAATCTTGACAAT